TTTGGAGGTTCTTCCCTCAAATTGTCCCAAAAATRTGTCCTGCTGGGGTTTTGAAAGACAGAGAACACAGTTGGGACAATCCCAATGGGACAAATCCCACTGGGTGAAACCCCACTGGGACAAACCCCACTGACACAATGACACAGCCCCACAGTGACACCCCCGAGCGTGTCCCCTCAATCCCTGACCCTTTTCTCCCGTCCCCGTTGGGATCCCAGGGCGGCCCAAGGGGGTGAAGGAGCAGGACGTTTACATCTGCGATTACCGCCTGGATAAATCCGCACACCTCTTCTACAAGATCCACCGCAACCGCTACCCCGTGTGCACCAAGCCCTACGCCTTCGACCACTTCCCCAAGAAACTCACGCCCAAGAGGGACTTCTCGGTGAGTGCTGCTGCTCCCAGCTCCTCATGAGACTGGATGGGGTTCTGGTGGGACTGGGTGGGGTTTGGGTGACACTGGATGGAGTTTTGGTGGAATGGATGAAGCTTGGTGACACTGGATAGAGTTTGGTGACACTGGGTGGAGTTTTGGTGGGATTGGATGAAGTTTTGTGGGACTGGATGAAGCTTGGTGACACTGGATGGAGTTTTGGTGAGATGGGATGGAGTTTTATAGGACTGGATGGAGTTTTGGTGACACTGGATGGAGCTTTTCAAGGCTCCTGGTTGTTGATGAAGTTTTGGTGGGACTGGGTGGAGTTTGGTAACACTGTATGGAGTTTTGGTGGAATGGATGGAGTTTTGGTGGAATTGGATGGAGTTTTGGTGGGGCTGGATGGGGTTTTGGTGGAATGGATGAAGCTTAGTGGGACTGGATGAAGTTTGGTGACACTGGATGGAGTTTTGGTGAGATGGGATGGAGTTTTATAGGACTGGATGGAGTTTTGGTGACACTGGCTGGAGTTTTTCAAAGCTCCTGGTTGTTGATGGAGTTTTGGTGGGACTGGATGAAGTTTTGTGGGACTGGGTGGAGTTTGGTAACACTGTATGGAGTTTTGGTGATACTGGATGGAGTTTTGGTGGAATGGATGGAGTTTTGGTGGGGCTGGATGGGGTTTTGGTGGAATGGATGAAGCTTGGTGGGACTGGATGAAGTTTGGTGACACTGGATGAAGTTTTGGTGGGATTGGATGAAGTTTTGTGGGACTGGATGGAGTTTTGGTGACACTGGATAGAGTTTTGGTTGCACTGGATGGATTTTTTAAAAGCTCCTGGTTGTTGATGGAGTTTGGTGACCCTGGATGGAGTTTTGGTGACACCAGATGGAGTTTTGTGGGACTGGATGGAATTTTGGTGTCTGATGTTTGCGATTCACCAGCATTTCCAGAGTATTTCGTAAAACCAGCATTTCCTTCCACTGTGAATTCCATTTGYTGTTAATTATCTTTATTATTATTTATTTCAGCCTCATTACGTGCCAGACAACTACAAGAGAAACGGAGGCAGGTGAGTTCCCCCAGATTGCTGACAGGAGATGAAATAATTCTGTTTATTTGTTTGTCATGCCGACTCTCCTCCTGCCCATCTCCCCCAGAATGCTGTGGAAACACCAAATTTAAGTTTTTTATAGCTCTCTAAATTTTCAGGGAAATAAAAAGGAACAAGTGAGGGAAACAAGAAGAGAAAGGAGCCAGGAAAAAAGTGAGAAAAAAGCCTGGGACAGGAGCCCAGATCCTGGATCCCATTTTTGTGGGGCAGTCAGAGCCCAGCTGGAAGAACCTCCACCAAGGGCTGTGGCTGCTGCAGAAAAACCCCAGTGAGGGCTGGGCCCAGCTGTTTTTASAGATAAAAACTTCTCCAACTGAAAATAAAAAGCTGTTTGTTCTCAAAGCTGCGTTTGGGGATTGTGGGGTGGGTGAGAGTGCAGAGATTGAGAGAAGGGACAGCTCCAGAGAGCCCCTGCCCGCACCTGAGCCCCGGAGAATTCAACATTTCAGGTGAATTCCCCAAAATCTGCTGCTCAAACCAAACCCTGTCCTCCTTCCAGGTCATCCTGGAAATCCGATCGCTCCAAAGCGCCCATCAAAGATCTGACCCCGGAGGAGGATCCGCTGCCCCTGATGGACGAGGTGCTGGCAGCCCCCGAGCAGGCTCCAGCGGAGCTGCCCGGCCCCGAGGAGCCCGACAAGGAGCCACTGGCCACCGAGGGCTGCCAGAGCCACAAAAAGGGCGACGAGAGCCCCTCGGACACGAGGCCACCCTGCAGCCCCGAGGAGCGGCGGCACCTGCAGAGGGAGAGGCTGAACCAGATCCTGCTCAACCTCCTTGAGAAAATCCCAGGGAAAAACGGTGAGGTTTGGCTCTGGCTGCACTCCTCTGGGGTCGTTTCAATGAGTTGTGTTGATAAAATTTATGATTTTTGTTGAGGTTTGGTTCTGGCTGCACTGCCCCACAGGTCTGGGGTCATTTCGATGAGTTTTGTTGATAAAATTTATGATTTTTGGCTGAGGTTTGGTTCTGGCTGCACTGCCCCACAGGTCTGGGGTCGTTTCGCTGAGTTGTGTTGATAAAAGTAATGGTTTTATCACAGGTTGAACTCGATGATCCTGGAGATCTTTTCCAACTGGAACAATTGAGTGTGGACTCGTGTACATTCTTCTTCTTATTATTATTATCATCATCATCATCATCCTCATCATCATTACTATTATTTATATATTGCTATATTATTATTATATTACACTATATTATATTATATTATATTAATTATATTATAGTATATTATAGTATAGTATATTATAGTATATAATATACTATACTATAATACAATTATTATTTTTATAATATAATTATTATTATTATAAATAATAGTATATTATGGTATAATATAGTATATTATGCTTTAATGTAGTATAGTATAATTTTTTTATTATATTATTATTATTATATGATAATAGTTATTTTACTCTCAGTGGAACACAACTCATTCTGTTAACTTTGATGTGTTGATTTCAAGAGAGAAAGCAAAACAAACAAAAAAACCCAAAAAAAGACAAAAAAAGGAAGGGAAAAAAACCTTTTGAGAAGAAAATCACATGAAATTTTAAATAATGAAGCACTCCACCCGTGCTCTGTTGCAGCCATCGACGTCACGTACCTGCTGGAGGAGGGCTCGGGCCGCAAGCTGAGGCGCCGCACGCTGACCATGGCCGAGAGCAGCTTCAGGAAGTGAGCGAGGAGGGAGGGGAGGGCCAGCCGAGCCCTGCGGTCACTCACTGGGGCTGGGGGCAGAGCCCAGCCCGGCCGAGGAGGGAGCAGCAAACGGACAAAAAATCCAAACGGTAGCGCCTGGGGGGCCGGGCCGGCGCGGCGCCCACCCTGCTCTGCAGTGCTCTTGGTGTGTGTGTTGGTGGGCGTGCCTTGTATTGATGTTAGGTACTGAGGAAACCTCGTGGTTATTGTCCAGGATGGTCAAATTTAATTTATTTTTTGCTTGGTATTCCCATTCAGAGGAAAAAAAAAAATTGAAAAAAAAATAATAAAAATAAAAAGTGGGGAGGGCAGAGGTAAAGGACTGAGTTACTCTGAGGAGGAGGAGGATGCTCCCCGTGGTCACTGAGAAGCTGTGGTTGCACCGGGGATGGAAATCCAGGGGAATCTGGGAGATCAGGAACGCGGAGGGGAGAGGAAAGGCCCGGTGGCTCACGAGGAAAGGCTGCCCTGAAGCTGCAGCCTCCGATTTGCACAAGTTCCAAGAAAAGAAGAGAGAAACTTCCCCGGGACGAGCGCGAGTTCACCGTGGGACGGCCGAGGAGAAGGTTCCAGAAGCCCCCGGAGCGGGGCAGGAGCGCTGGGAGGGGGGGGAGGGGGGGTTGGGGCGTGAGGTTTTTCCTTTTTTTCACTTTTTTTCTGCGGAGAAATTTTCTAAAAGCGCAGTCAGTCAGCTCCTGACGCCACCATCGCTGTTGGTTTTTTTGATAAGCCGTGGTTCTCGTGTGTCTCGTGTGTCGTGCGAATAAAAACCCGTTAAAAGAT